GAAACTGCCGGGTAAACAGTTCTGCGCCTGCGCCATGGCTACGAATAGTGCTGATCATGTTAGTGAATATCTCTAATATGACTGATCTCTCTTATATTTTTAAATGCGAAGTATTTCTTAGTGAACTTTGGTGGCATTGAGTCTATCTATCTATCTATCTATCTATCTATCTATCTATCTATCTATCTATCTATCTATCTATCTATCTATCTATCTATCTATCTATCTATCTATCTATCTATCTATCTATCTATCTATCTATCTATCTATCTATCTATCTATCTATCTATCTATCTATCTATCTATCTATCTATCTATCTATCTAGCCACCTACGACTTTTAGCTCTCCTGGCCGTTCGGATAATGGCATCGATACCCAACTTGGTATAGCAAAACATGACTTTATGACGAACATATTTGACTAGTACTAACATGAAAACTATGATATGTAATTCATGAATGTCATGATTTACATTTCGTGGTTCTGCTGCTCTTGCGGTGGTTTCTTTCACATGGCATGTTGGAAAACTGGTGTGGTATGACATTAGTGCATTGCAAACACAAGCGACAAACCCTAACATGAAAGTCAAGGCATGCGTGTCATGTAACGGCATGACTACATGCCACGCTCATGGTGCGCTCACGGCCATTTCGCTAGCGTCACATATACAAAATTTGGTATTACGGTACGCGAATGGATAACGAAGGTATGTTACTGCTGCAAACATGATAATCACGAGATTCGTGTCATGTAACAACATGACTACATGCCACGCTCATGATGTGCTAGCGGCCGTTTTGCTAGGTACACTTATACCAAATTTGGTATTATGAGAGGTGAATGGATGACGAAAGTATGAGACTGGTGCAAACAGAATAAACGTGAGATGCGTGTCATGTAACAACATGACTACAAGCTACGCTCATGATGCGCTCACGGCCATTTCGCTAGCTTCATATGTACTGAATTCGGTAATACGTGACGCGAACGGACGACATAAGTAAATGACACTTTCAAACGTGATAATCACGACATGCATGCCATGTAACAATACGACTACATGCCACACTCATGATGCACTCGTGGCCGTTTCGCTAGTTTCACATATGCCAAATTTGGTATTGCGTGACGTCAACGGAGGACAAAGGTATGTGACTGGTGCTAACATGATAATCATGAGATGCGTGTCATGCGAGAGCATGACTGCATGCCTCAGTGAATGCGCGAATACACTTCGACGTGACCCGGCGTGCGTGCGCGCCGCCGTTCGTTTCGTCGCTTCACGCCGGCGTTGCCCCGCCAGGCGCCGGTCTTGCCATATACTCGCATGTGCGAGCCGTGCTGTGCTGCTTGGACGCATGCACGTTCCAGCGCGTCCGGCATCCCCCTGTCACAAAAAGAGACAAATGCAGTGCTGTCTGGGCAAGGCATCGGTGCGAAATGCAGCATGTCGCATTTCTCGCTGCTTGCCGTCGGTGAGTGGTAGGTTTTCTGTGGCCGCACCGACGTACGCTGGTTGTGCCAGTCGCGCCTGGCGTCAGACTATAGTCTGCTCGCGTTTTCCTAACGTAGCGTCGCTGTGCCCAGCGTGCGCGCGTGTCAACGTTACGTTGAAGTTAATTGGTCTCTTCATCAGGCACTCGCAGTCGTTTCGCTAGCCCACATATACCAAATTTGGTGTTACGTGACGTCAATGGGTGACGAAGGTATATGACTGGTGAAAACATGATAATCATGACATGCGTGTCATGTAAGAACATGACAACCTATCACGTTCATAGCGTGCTCGCGGCCGTTTCGCTTGCTTCACATGTATTAAATTTAGCATCACGTGACGGGAATAGATGACGAAGGTAAGCGACACATCCGAACATAATAATCATCACACGGATGTGTACGGCATAATTTACCCCCACCTCGTAATGTTGTGGTGATTTTAAAGTAATATATCAACATTCATGCTTCGCATATCATCGATTCCCACTGTATGAGGGATCTGCCAATTTTTTCTTTCTCACACGCGTATGTCTGGATGTAGCGAAAGCTCTCTGAGCTCAGAACACTAATCTGGTGATCGTTGTCATCTGAGTTGCTGTCCTCAAGGCAATTACGACGCTGCCTTCGAGATGCTGCAGCGACAGCATTGATGTTTCCTTCGCCTTCGCGCTAGCCGCCTCCTTATTTACATGGCGCATGTATGGCTTCGTAGTAGTGAACTTGCCCACACACACTCATAAACGCTACCAATGCACGTGCACGAAATATTATTAGCTTGGTGATGCCCCCTTCCGAGTTGCATGCTCGCACTCCTCACTGCATGGTTCACCTGCCGGCAGCTACGTCATTGGCTGGCTTGTGTCACGTAATCCCTCCTCCCGGTCAGATCGCGCCACGCTCGCACTTCGAAGTCAGAGTGGTCGGGAGCACTCTGAGTCAGAGGCTGATGCTCTGAAAAAAAAAAAAAAACAACTGAAGGTAGTCCGAGTGCTAGAATTCTACCAACCGAAGGCGCAGCACTTTTCTACAGCACTCTAGAGCGCTCAAAATAGCCCGACCGAATACACCATATGTCTACCACTTAACGCTTGTGATGGGCATCTCGGGGGAGGGGTGGGGCTATCGTGTTTTCAGCGTTATCAGCAAGATAGCGCATTTAGCGCGCGGCGGTGCACGTCACGGGGAGGACCTGTTGTGTTTCCAGCATTATCAGCAAGGTGGCACAGTGAGCGTGCGGCGGCCTGTGCTCTCATCTCCCATCCGTACGTTGCCCCGCAGAGAGGAAAAGGTGGGCGCTCATTCGCGCGCCCTTGTCTGGCGGTGGGGAGGTGGTACATTTTGGCTGGTCTGTGGCTTTCACTGAAACCATTCTGTTGTAGTTACCGGGCGCACAAATGTAACTGCAGTCTCCGTTTGCGAAAAGAACGTGCTTTTCAGATAGAGTAGTAATAACTGAGACGCTTATTCGCGTTCATATGTACGTGTGAGTACAATTCGTGTGTTGTTTGTGCTCGAGGAACGCGGGGCACGTTTCAATCTGCCTTCCATTCTGCTCATGAGCTTCCCATTTGTTGCTATCGCGTTCATTGCTTCGTCTTTTCGGCAGAGCTATGGCGTTTTTCGGTAAAGCGCCTTCTACATGCAGCTCGGCCCTATACATGTGACGCTAACTAAAAGTGTGGTACTGCCAACACGCAAAAGTAGTTTTTTAGTGAGGGGGGCACATTCGCGCATGCGTCAGTGGCGGCAAGAACGGCGGAAACGCCGGCTGGCGGGGTTCAGGCCCACCAGTCCCACCTAACGCTCAAGCGCACGCAATAACCAGCGCTGGCTCTCACCTAGTGCGCCATGGGCGCCGCCGTCGCTTCGTCGGTGGCGGGGCAGCCGCGGAAGATGCATATTCGTACCAAAATGTCAAAATGCGGAGTGAAATTCCTAGGATTGTCTGCGGTGAAAATTTGTTATATGAAGGTTGTCTCCCGCTAGTAATTTGTTACATAGAGGTCGCAAGTACATGTGCTTCTAGGGAGCAACGGCAGGGAATAGAATAACTTCGTTCTTCTAATAACGCATTCGATGCTCTAACCACTGAGCTATCACAGCGGCCTAGAGTAACTTCGTTATATTGATGAATTGATTATATGGAGGTTCGCTATAAACAGGTTTAACTGTACAACCTCCCGTTTCTTCTGCTTCGTCCTCATTAATGGCACACTATTTCTCCTCTTTATGTCTATCACACTGTTTGCAATATGATTCTCGTTTTGTTTGTTTCATTAACTTTCTGGCTTCCACTAAAACTTGCGCCATATATTGTTTGAACACCAATTTTATTTAGTGCCTTGACGCCACGATTTGTGCTTAGTCATACTGAATATAGTCATCATTGTTTCGATGCGTGTGCAGCACATTCGCTTATGAGCAGAATGAGTTTCGCAGAAAATAATAGTATTGCTTCTATACTCGCTCTTTAGTGGTACAGACTGGTTTTTTTAAAGGCGCAGGATTTCCGGCTCGGCTCAGTCACTCAGTCAGTCGATGTGTTGAACGCACTTCCCATTCAGTTTTGCGTGTGCACCTTAACATCTACTATGTGTATAAGTCGGTGATAGGTGCCTAACGGGGCAGCCACTGAATTATAGAACCTGAAATGGCTCTCAGCATTCCTTGATAAAGATATTCTATTAAAGTCGGGCAACAGTAGTGGCAGTTGTGGAGCTTCACTTCTAAAGAAACGAGGGCAATGTAACCTATGGTTACGTTTATTATGCAGGATGTATGTCTCTAAATGGCAGACTCTTTCTGACCGGAAGGGGGGAATGAATTACTCTATGCCCTGCGTATATACCTTTTGCCACGGTTCACGCATGGCGAACATGGAGCACTTCATTCTACATGGTGTTGCCCTACATCATTATTGAATGTACAGCGCTATTTTTCTACATCCCGATTAGGAAGCAATGCAAAAGTACATCCTCGAGAACCATCGTAAGCTTGTCACATTTGCCTATTTCGGAATTACCAGTGGTGAGTGTGCGTGCTTTAGTGTTCGTTCATCAGCCCTTCTCCTCCTTTCGTCTCCCATGAAAGACCTTTGGTCCTCCCTTTTCTTCACAAAAAAGTGATCTATCTTCCGCAAAAGACCAGCATTGTATGAGCTTATGTTAGTACTCGCAGTCGCAGCAATAAACGCATAAACACACCACCTTTATTTTTTGGGGCGTTACACCACATATCAATCTATCACCACCTTTAGGCATGATACCTCAGTGCCACTGTATCAATTGTTTTTTTGTTAAGCACATGGTGTCTAATACAGTGCCACGAAAAGCCGTCTAATACAGGTATAATTACCTACGTTGAAATAACGCTTGAGCACTTCGTTGTTCGCTATTATTTCACGCCAACTGTGATAAGATGGGGGAAACGGAACACACAATATCAATCATAAAACAGACCATGTGATTCGGAAACATTACCGCTGCACTTTTTGTGGCTGCAGGTTCAAAGAGGATGAAGAACTGCGCATCTTCATGCAAGATCCGAATCTTGAGGGTCTCATCCTCGTCGGCAACAACACCCTGTGGGTCAGAGAGATGGACGTCTCTTTGCGGGGCAACTACACTTGTCGCGTGTCCAGTGGTTCTGCCGTACGAGACCTGCACTTCAAGATTAGCTACGCTGGACCAGCGATCGTGAAACCCCCCTGCGAAATAGGTAAGCAATAGAAAGATGTTCATAATCTATCGTATCTATATAAAAATGCTTCCTTCCAGCAAATTCAAGGTGACCTTTAGGGTGAATCCTAATACGAATAAGCCAATGGGAAATAATAGAGCACCTGTACGTAGGTTTCGGTACGTATGAATAAAACATGTGGGCACAGCTCCAACTTACCGAAGAAAAGGCCGTTTTTATAGTGCAAAAAGAAAAGAAAACGCTTTAGAAGTATCTGATTTAACTGAATAATTATACGGCAACCTCCAAGAATTGTTGTCTCTTGTCTAATGGTAATGAAAACTAAGTTCTTTTATGGTGTGTAAAATTCAATTCTAAACTGACGTGAATGGGCAAATTTCTCAGCCTAAAAAAAAAACACACACGAGAGAGAGATACGGGAAAAAAACACACAAGGTATGGCAATTTTTTTTTTGGAAACCGAAATTCAGTAGACCGGGATAGTTATGTTTTTTTCTCTAAACGGTTGGTTTTTCGAGCACCATACGTTAGGAACGGCAAAGTTCCTATTCGTTCTTATGCAACTAAACTGTGGGAAGAGCGCTTGCCCTGCTGATATTTTATATGACCTAAAAATATTGATATCTTTGAGTACCAGGGTGATTCTCGTTCCCTAGTGTTGCCAGGGATGTCATCTTACTCCCACAAGATATGGCAGATACTCAGGTCGTAATGTTGACGCTACATACGTACAATGAAGACAGTGTGATGTTTGCGTGAAAAGCCTAAGAGTTGCCTTTCCATGACATGTGTGGGATATTCCGCATGGGGAACACAACTGGGCTGCACTTAACGCAACAACGTAATGCCTAAAATGTCAACTTCACCCATCGAATTGAGCCGACACAGATATCACCAGTAAAAAAAATGATCTCTTAAAAGTGGGTTATTAATTGTCGGTAATGCCACAGAAAAAACGTCTCAGGGAATTAACTTCGCTTCTTCTAATTATTGATATTGTTAAGTCAAACTTTGCTATAAATTGGCATTCGCTAATCTGTTAGATTTGGCAAGCGTCAATCTACTGAGTGTGTTATCTGTGCCTGAAAGCGGAAAGTAATTTCCATCGTTCCCACACGAGACAACAAGAAGATAAAGAGAATGAAACGGTCTGCTTGTCACTAAAAATACTTATGTGTTTCAGCAGTGTGCATTCTGCTTTAAGTGGAATGTTCCACTGTGAGTTGCACCTGCTGAAGTGTACTGCCAAAAGATGATTGCCACAAGCACGAACCTCCACACGTTCCTAGCTCTTTACATAAAGGAAAAACAAAAACATTCGCACCTAAAATTTCGTGAGGCCTGTATGCCTGAATTTTTGAAGACTTCTGAAAGTTGAATACATTATACGATGTCAGATGACCGCTCTGTGTAATTCTCTTTTGAGTTTTCTCAGCGCACTGTTTTGCTCCTTCTTATTTACCATCCGCGTTGACATGTCTAATTTCTATACCACAAAAAAGCTCTGAACTCATTGCGTTAAGAAAAACGGCAATGCTGAAGTATACGGAAAACACGTTTTCTTCAAATTTTATGCTGGCAAACGGTGGCCTTATTAATTAAGCATTGATTGATTGATATGTGGTGTTTAACGTCCCAAAACCACCACATGATTATGAGAGACGCCGTAGTGGAGGGCTCCGGAAATTTCGACCACCTGGGGTTCTTTAACGTGCACCCAAATCTGAGCACACGGGCCTACAACATTTCCGGCTCCAATGGAAATGCAGCCGCCGCAGCTGGAATTTGATCCTGCGACATGCGGGTCAGCAGCCGAGTACCTTAGCCACTAGACCACCGCGGCGGGGCAATTAATTAAACATTCCTTTTTTTCGTAGCATAGTGAGTATTTGAATGTTTGATTAAAAGGCATGCCGCGTGGCGACTGCGCAGTTCAACGTAAGGTGCCCCAGGATACCAGCTTCACCCGGGGCGAGACGGTCATCCTGCCGTGCGAGACGAGCGGTTCCCATGTGGCCACCCACTGGACGCGCAACGGAGCCCAGCTGCGCACCGGCGTGGACCGCGTCACCATCCTGCCCATCGGCTTCCTGACCATCAACGACTCGCGGCCCGAGGACAGCGGCGTGTACGCGTGCGTCGCCACCGACGTCGCCAAAAACTGCTCGCGCTCATTCTCCGCCGCCGTCGCCGTCATGCCCAAGTCTCGACTCCAAGAAGGTCAGCACCTCAGCCTGCCACCGCCCGCCGCGAACTACAGCTCCCCTTTGCGCCAGAAACGGCCAGAAAAATAAAAGCCTTACCTCCCCACACCCCTCAGCACATTATTGAGACTGTTGCTTATGATCATAAACGCCGTTCTCGCGGCGAAAATAAACAGCAAGATGTCCAGTGGCGCGGGTGCTAAACTTCCGTATTAGCACAGAAGTGTGGCTTTTGACAGCACGTCCATATATGCATGAACTTCTTAGAAGCTGCCTCGTGTTTGATCCATTGCTTTCTCGAACGGCTGCATAAATTAGTTAAAGCGTAGTTAGTTATGATATCGCAACAGGTAAACATTGTCAAGAAAAAAAAACTAATCTCCTCGATTCTCTATACTATACGTATCAAAATATTTCAACATTTCAAACGTTAAAACTCAACACATCCAATGAGGACTTGGTAATCTCTTTGTTTCCCTTTTACAATGTTGTTAAACACGCTTCTCAAAAATCGTGATCGAAGCCAAAATGAATGTTTCGAAACGTTTCGTAAAATTTTGTGCATTTTGGTTATTTTCCGACCAATTTCCGCGCTAATGTAGGTAGAAGTACAACTGCTGAATTAATAGGGCGTCGTATCGCAGAGAAGGGATAAATAGTAATTTGAGTTGCCGTTGAGCAATCGCAGATGTACGTTGTTTGTACATAAAGAAGCATTCGCACTCACGGAGCATTTCAGTGCTTTATTTGCCAGTACTACTGCTTCATTCCTGGTCGTGATGAAATGAGTTCGTGTAGGTGTTCATAGGGAAGTAAAATCAGAAAAAAAGAGCTGTGAAGGATATTCAAGTACCATTGATCACCAGTATTGAACGCCGAATTCAACTGTGAGCACAAGTAACTTGTTCACCCCTCCTGAGCAGAATAGCGCTATCACCATTGCGTGCAAGAAATGTATCTTAAAACACAGCAGAATGCTTCGAACTCTTCAATAGAACACGACTGCTGTCGTGTTAAAGCACATAGATATGTATTGACCATGACATATTTGAGCGAAATGTTTATTGAGGCTGTAGAGCAAGTAGATGCATCCTAAAATTCTTGAGGCTGTAACTATTTATTCGACAATAATGTGGATAATTTCTTATAGACCCTTTTGAAATCACTAAGGAGCGTTCAACTAACGTACGACCACGTGGTTTGTGGGTTATTGCTAGTGTTAGTTTCTTTGTAAACTAAAGAGTGAGCGGAGCATACATGTGACAAATGATCACCATTTTTGTCAGAGCTAAGTCGCATATCCTATAGACAACCAGCACCCTCAATTATTTACCAGCTAGCATTTTATATCCCGCAAATGTGTCCACCATCAATATCCCTGGGGTTACTCTAAGCTTATAGATCTATGACTGTTTACGCAATTTTAACCACTTGTACTGCCGTTGTGCCTGTCATACCTGTTAAAAAGGGTGATAAATGCACCCATCAAGTGTTTGCACTCATTATGCTTGAGACATGCATTTGGCATTCGGTGTCGTGTTCTTGAATATAACGATGCACGTGGGGATGCTTTGTGGACACAATGCCCGATTACTGCAAATTGCCTGATTATCGACGGCTGACAAAGGTAGTCTCAAATGAGTCTGCTATATTCCTGAAACCTCGCAGATGTGAAGTTGAAAAATACACTACTTGTGCGCGTCAATCTCTGTCGCAAAGAGTTTTGCATGATTGCACCAGCAAAGAAAGTCCACGGAGGTCCTCGCAAGACGTTCATTGATTAATACTTTACATTTGCTCGGTCAGAGATGTCTTCTATCTTGTTAAAATCAGGGGAAGATACCCAGCGTAGTCACTAGAGAAATGATGGTTTCTTGCTAGCCTCTTCTGATGCCCAATTTTGGCAGGCTCGTGGTCGCGGTCACGCAGATACGTTGAGTATCCGCGAAAAACGACGAGGAAACCTCAGGAAGCGGTACAAAAAGCGGTATGATATTTATTCTGTTCGAAATAATGTACAAAGTTCCTGGCAGTCACAGTCCTAAGGGGGAGCGAATCGGCGTAGCGTAGAGAACCTCAGGCTGCAAGTATTTTTGAGGACTAATGTGCACCTCTCAGCTACACCATGTGGAAAATAATAAATCAGTACCTAGACAGAAATTCGGCTTATTTCAAAAGAGGAGGCCTTACCGTTCCCCAGCGATGATGCAGATTAGGCTTAAGAAAAGGGCGTACGGCACGGTTCTCACCTAAAATTTTCCCTTTAGTGCGCACTTACATATTCCTGATAGTTCCCCTCCTGGACTGTCGAAGTACTTGTGCAAACTTAGCGTAGCTAACGCGACTGCTTATGGATTGGTTATCACTAACGGACGTGCGCGCCTCTGTCCGCATCCTCTCGTGTCTTGCAGTGTGCGGCCGCGTGGATCTCGACAAGGCTAATACACCGGCGGAGAGGATCTCCGGTGGCCACGATGCGCCCAAGGGAGCCCATCCATGGCAGGTACGGGCTCGACCTCTCCTTTTTATCTCGCGTCTACGTGGGCCCTCGCCACCAATTTAGTGGCGACACCAGCGCCTCAGCCGCTGGCAACAAAACTGGCGGACGGGCATACCCCCTTGTCTGACCGCCCTTCACATAAATAAAAAGAAAGAAACACCGCACAAGAAAGCCAAATTGCCTCCCCTATATCGGTGGCCGCATCGGACGCCTCGCAACCCCTTCGGCGACGCGACCGGCCAGGAAAAAACTGCCCGCCGGCCCATTTCGCAACGTGCTCCCTTCTCATTTTTCCAGGAATTCCCGAAGCGTGATTAAATGCGACCGCTGGGATGGTAAACACGCTGGCTTCTTCTTTGACCTCCCGGGCCATTCTCCCGGCCTTTTTTTTTTGTTTTCTTTCTTTTAGGTTTCGTGAGTATTCGTGGGAATGCTCCAGAGTGTACGCATGTCGACGATCGTGCTTGCTGCATCTCTCGAGAGAATAATGTATCGTGTTGGTGAAGTTCTTGCCTCTCTCTATAAATACGTAATGTCTTGTCTATGTGCGTACGTTTTTTTTCTAACGATAGCTGGGCATTCCAGTGTTTTTGAGCCCGAACACGCTGCATTTTTGTAAGTGGTTCACAAGAGACCGGCGAACCACTCAAGCGACCTCCGTTTCCTTGTACGCCGCACTCAATTTATTGCTCACGACATGTGAGAAAGAAAGTCGTTGGTAGCACCGAGATTGCCGTGTGCATTTGTTGCCAAGCCATTATACTCATCTGGGACTGTGATATCACTTTTTCGTTTTTTTCCCGTTGTTTTGTATATCAGGGGTGCCAGGCTGAGATTTCGAAAATCTTTGGGAGTCATGTCTGAGTCAGGTATGACTGTCTTTTCAGCACGCGCGTTGTCTCCAATACTACCGACTAATGGCTGCCCGAAGTTTCTTCCCCGGCTTCGACCTTGCAAATGCCGACTTAATAGAGTCTGCCTTTTCTTAGGTTCATGCGACCACGCTAATAGTAACAAAAAATGAAATCGAGAACATTACCTCCACAACACATCAGATACCTCATGTTTCAGAAAAAAAATGACTGGGCTCCCACATTGTGCGTCATTTTACTGTTCAGTATGCGACTCACGCTTAGTATAGCCAACATAAAGAGAAGGACGGGTGTTTCACCTTATGCACTTACGAACCCAGAAGGCATTGATATCGATTACACGAACGTTGTCTTTATGTTCACTACGCGCACGTATTTGCCATGATTCTAATCCCGTGTTTTTCCTGCCGAGCTAAATGCTCGTACGTGTCCTATTTACCTGGCTGGTTTCAATGTGGACACGGCTAAATACGGGGCCACCTTGAATAGCCTGGTTGAATAACGCAGTTTTTTGCTTCTCAATTCGTTGTGCGCTATAGCTATATATACCTTTGAAGAAGATCGCTATCTTTATCTCAGTAGCTATACATAAACTTCAAAGCCTAATGTACCTTGCGTAATTGTTGCACAAATATGAAACTAATTTTTTTTTGGTGTAATGATAATATCTGGAGATTTACGTCCCAAAATCACGATATAATCATGACAGACGCCGCAGTGAAGAGCTTCTGAAATTACGACCATTTGATATTTTGAAACGTGCGCGGTCATCACGCAGTCAGGGGTGAAAGTGCTGTGCCATTCTGCGCCAATCTGACCTGCTGTGCCAAGCTGCGGCTGATCGGCGATTCGCGCCTGCAACGCCAAATGCAGTCAAGTTTTGTCATTGAACGAGCAACACGCGTTGGCTACACAAAGGACGCAACCGTGTCAATATCGAATTAGTTCGGTCACGTCGTACTTCGGTTCATGTATGAATCTCTCGCCGCGTGAACAGAATGCATGTATCTTGCTAAGGTGGTGTTTGTATGCATACCCTATTAAGCGACTCTATATATGTTTTTACAGCAAAGCTGTTAGTCAAACTATAAGGCCGGCAGTGGTGTTGCAAAAACCTTGCCACGCCGTTGCAGAACAGCCTTCGAGCACTGTACGCGGTCTGCGATGGAGACCGCCGAGCCTTATAAAGTGAAAAATTTATAAAAATTAGTACTGGCGCACCAATGACTGCAATACCAATATTTGTAATGTTATGATAACGCTGCACGCTCTTTAGTTCTATTTTTGTTACCGCACCATAACGCGAGTCACGCTGCCCTGCGCAAACCACGCCCGCATGACTTTGAATCATTTAGATAATCCTAAAACCCTTCCGATCAGGTCGCGCGTACATTTATGGTATTATATTACGCGTGCATTTAAAAGACGTTGTTCTGGAACTTACGTGGCCGCTAGCGATAACACTGGAATCTTCGAAGCCACATGTGTAAGTGCCAACGCGCTTAGATGCTTGGCAAAGTATCGATGGCCGACGCTCTACCAGCGTGCATTGCTTGTAAAGTGACGTTTCGTTTTCTGGGCACATGATCGCCCAAATAAAAAGTTCACACATGAAAACAGCGGGTGCGGCTTTCGTCAACATCACGACCCTGTGACAATACGAAGGCTGACAGCTAACTCTTTTGGATCTGACATCGCGACAGCCTATTCCAAAAAAACGATGGTGCAAGGGCATAATACGGCTGCTACAGGGAGCAATGCTCTTATCGCACCATCTCTTCCCGTTGACAGCGCACCACGTATAATGGTTTATGAGCTGTGCGCTGATGCTCGCAGATAGCGCGCGCCAGTTATCGCAATCACGTCCTTAGAATCAAAACTCCCCGCTGCAGCTCCACCCCCCCCCCCCCCCTCCTATTCCACCGCGTCTTTTCCGGCTCGTTCAAGGCGAGTGGCGCGTTTCTGCTGGAGCATGCGACGGCAGGTGTAGCATGCGCTGAGATGCTCGACGGAGATCGGTGGCCTGGCTCAATCTCAGCTTGACCAGCTCTCCTCGCCTCAGCATGCGTAATTTTACGCGAGGGTAGATCGTGTGATGCGTGGGAAATGTTACTTGTAGTTCACGCGGTATTTGGAGGCAATGATGAAAACCCGTCTAGTTTCTGCGTAATTCCTATCGTAATGAAGACATTTTGACCGAATCGCCTAGCAATGACGCGGTGAGCGACTCTAAATTTTCCCGTGGTTCTCATGTCGACTGTGGAACTTCAATGACCGAAACATATGTTTTGAATGCGAAGCATTTCTAAGCGAACTTCGGCGACTTGGAGCGTATCTATCTATCTATCTACCTATCTATCTATCTATCTATCTATCTATCTATCTATCTATCTATCTATCTATCTATCTATCTATCTATCTATCTATCTATCTATCTATCTATCTATCTATCTATCTATCTATCTATCTATCTATCTATCTATCTATCTATCTATCTATCTATCTATTATCTATCTATCTATCTATCTATCTATCTATCTATCTATCTATCTATCTATCTATCTATCTATCTATCTATCTATCTATCTATCTAGCCGCCTGTGACTTTTAGCTCTCCTGACCGTTTCGATAATGGTATCAATACCAAACTTGGTATGGCATAACATGACTATGTGAAGAACATATTTGACTAATCATAACATGGAAATCAATCAATACATGTTTGTCATGAATGTCATGATTTGATTTTCATGGTACTGCAGCATGTCGCAAAACTAGTATGGTATGGCATGATTTCAAGGCGAACACAAGTGACTGACAGACTTTAACATGAAAATCATGGCATGCGTGTCATGTAACATGACTACATGCCAAGCTCATTACGTGCTTGCGGCAGTTTCGCTAGCGTCACATATACCAAATTTGGTGTTACGGTATGTGAATGGATGAAAAAAGTATACGACTGGTGCAAGAATGATAAATATGAGATGCGTGTCATGTGACAACATGACTACATGCCACGCTCATGGCGCGCTGGTGGCCGTTTCGCTGGCTTCGCTTATACTAAATTATCTATTACGGGACGTGAATGGATGAAGAAGGTATGAAACTGGTGCAAACATGATAAACATGAGATGCATGTAATGTAACAACATGATTACATGCTACGCTCACGATGCTCTCGTGGCCGTTTCGCTAGGTTCACATGTACCAAACTCGGTATCACGCGACGCGAACGAACGACATACGTAAATGATACATCCAAGCATGATAATCACGACATGCGTGCCATGTAATAACATGACTACATGCCACACGGATGATGCGCTCGCCGCCGTTTCGCTAGCTTCACATGTGCCAAATTTTGTATTACGTGACGCCAAGATATGACGAAGGTATGTGACTGTTGCAAGTATGATTATAATGAGATGCGTGTCATGTAAGAACATGAATACATGCCCCAGTCAAAGCGCCAACACATTGCGACGTGACGCGGTGCGCGTGCTCGCCAGCGTTCATTTCGTCGTGTCACGCCGGTGTCGCAATTCTATGGGCACCGGTCATGCCATATACTCGCAGGGGTGCGCCGCGCTGCGTTGCTTTGACGCATGCGCGCTTCAGTGCGTCCGGCATCCCTCTGTCACAGAAATAGGAAGACGACGTGTTGTCTCCCTATTTGCGACATGCTGCGCGAAATGCTGCGCGTATTGCGACTTGCTGCGCGAAATGCAGCATGTCGGATTTCTCGCCGGTTGCCGTCGGGCCGCGCCGACGTACGCTGGGCGCACCGTTCGCGCCTGGCGTCAGAATATAGAATTCTCGCGTTTTGCTAACGTAGTGTCGCTTAGCCCAGCGTGCGCGCGAGTCAACGCTACGTTCGAGTATACTCGGCCCTTCATGATGCACTCGCGCCCGATTAGCTAGCTCCGCATCTACCAAATTTGGTGTTACGTGACGTCAATGGATGACGAAAGTATATGACTGGTGCAAACATGATAATCCTAACACGCGTGTCATGTAAGAACATGACAACATACCACACTCGTAGCGTGCTCACGGCCAATTCGCTAGCTTCACATATACTAAATTTGGTATCACGTGACGTGAATAAATGACGAAGGTAAATGACAC